TTTAGGAAGGCTGTGCAAGAAACCTGCAGAGAGGTGTGACTAGGGTGCATAAACAAAGTAATTGTTTGATATGTGGGCTTATTGTATGTTTTTATTATGTTTCAGGGTACTTTTTTGTTTTTGCGTTGGGTTCTCTGTTCCTGGGAGATAATTAGCTTACCGGTCGTTAACTCAATTTTCTCTCAGGCCCAGAGATTCCTGGGAGGGGCTTGTGTTGAATACAATGAAGATCCAAAGCTAGGGTCTGTGCATAAAAGGTCGAGTTTGGCTGATTAAAATCAGATTTACTCCCAGAACTATGTGTCGTCTAGTTACTGAGATGGGAAAGGGCTAATCACTGCTCAGCATCATGTTACAGCTCATGGAGGATTCGTTGGGGGAAAATTCTTGTAAGAACTGTGTAATAGTATTTATTAATTAATGACTTTTTGTCATAAAAAAAGCATAATGAGCTTAATGCTTTAGATGCACCACTAGATGTCAGTAAAGCATATTTAGTGTAATGCTTTGGGGGCACCATTAGGGGGAGTGTGTAGGAAGACCTGTGCTTCTGGCAGTGACATCACAGGCCAGCCTACTTACACCGAATAAAAACCCAGATGTGAGGAGAAGCTAGCTCTGTTTGCCTGTACCTGACTGATCATGTAGTACCAGCTCTGACTTAACCCCAGCCAAAGGGCTGGGGCCTTGTAAGTAGCAACCTTTTGTAATTAATATGTTGTTTGTTTTGTATTATCATAATTGTAGTAAATTGACATTCTGCTAGCATCTGTTTATTTGTTATAGTTATATTAAATATACATTTAATATTACAATGTTTTGTGTATTTTCTATCCACATATTCGACCATAATACCATGAATTATAAAAATATTAATGTTTTTCCGTATTGCTTAATTATTATGTATTAAGAGATTAATATTCATATTTAGGTCACGACCACAACAAACTGCTGCTCCCAGGACTGTGTGTCGTCCAGTCCCTGGGAGGGAATAGAGCTAGTCCCCTATCCAGTTCCAGAACGGAAAGGCTCCAGGAGGACCCCAGTCAAGCCACCGCGACTGGGGCAAAAGTGCTGAGGATTTCCCTGTTTTCAGCTAGGAAGCAATCCTTGGCGGTTGTACCAGGCCGGAATACTGGGAGCTCCGCTACAGTTATTATAGTGTCCCTTGAATCCACAAAGTAGAGCAGAGTTCAGATTTGAGAAACAGGATAACCTTAAGATGAAAATAAGAGAGTTGACAGGTTATTATGAGTAACAGCTGATTACCGAATTATTGTCATTTTGTGACACATATTGATAGCATGGTAATTAGGCAAGGCAGGGCCTAACAGAGGTAATGCAACAATGACTGTTCCATTTTATCTCTGTCTTTTCACATATCTATCATCTTATCTCAGTCTATATACATTGATTTGTCACATAACCTTATCTTTTCCATCTTATCCTTTATCTTATCCTACCTTTCTTGTCACTAGCAGTTCAATCACAAGCTAACTACGTATTCAAATTAGGAGTCAGGGATAAGCAAGAAACTATCTTGTTTTAATAAAGACTATACCACCAAGTGGTAGTGGCTAATACTACTAGCTAACTGTATAAGGTATGATGCCCTATAGTGCAGAGCAAGCACGTCAAACTCAAAGGCTAACACGGGCCAAATAAACAAGGTTTAAGTTTATGTGGGCCGCAAAAAAAAAAAACTTCGGTTTTCATAGAAATGTAGGTTTATTTGGAAAAGTACAGTATAAAAAAAAGTTGCCTAACTGACACTGGACGTCCTCATGCTCGTAGGGCTTTAAAGTAAACAAAAGAGTGAATTTTAATAATGGGCCTGAAATGGTGAATGTATGCCTTTGCACAGCTGTAAAAAACAAATGATGTTATTGTGGATTTTGAAGTCCTATGAGTATGTTCTTCACTTTGTCTGAGATCGTCAAACTTGATAATCTCAGCCAATCCAATGCTTTCCCATAGAAGGCATTGGGAGGCAATTGTGCATGTGTGGCAAAAAGTTGCATGGCCAAACAGCATCTCCATGGGGAGCGTTCAGTGCCTCCATGCAGACTCAATCTAATACACTGCCCTTCCCCTATTCTAATACACTGTCCAAAAATCCAATAAATTGCCCTCAAATTCAACATACTGCCCCCTCCCCATTCTAATACACTGCCCGCAAATCCAATACATTGCCCCCACATCCAATACACTGATCCCCTCCCTCCACTCTAATACACTGCCCTCTCTACTCAATCTAATACACTGCCCCTCCTCCTTCTACTCTAATTTAATACACTGTCCTCACTCCCCCAATTAAAGACAATGCCCCTCTCCCACCAAGAAAATTAATACACTCCCCTCCCCTTCCACCACTCTAATACACTGTCTCCTTCTCCCACCACTCTGATACACTGCCCCCCTCCATCCCTCGAATTTAAAACACTACACCCTCCATCAAATTAATACACTGCCCCCCTCCCCAATTTAATACAGTGCCCCCTCCCTAAAATGAATACACTGCCCACTCTCTCCCCCAATTTAATAAACTGCCTCCTTCCTCCCTCCCTCAAGTTAATACACTGCCCACCCTCCCCAATTTAACACACTATACAGGAAGGTCCCCCAACCCCCTCTTCCCCTACCTTAAAACGAGCCACCCGTCCACCAGTTCCAGCCCTGCTTTTCTCTGCTCAAGCAAGCCAGACACTTTTCTGGCATTGCGAGCAGCAGAGAAGGGGGAGTGGCTTTCATGCTGGAGCACGTGATCGGCTATAGGAGGGGAGACCAGAGTCATATAGGAAATATCTTTCCTGTCTTACGGCTGATCGCAGTCACAACACAAAGTGGCCCCATGGCAGGTGGGCCGCAAATATATCCATTGTGGGACGCAAGTTTGACATGCTTGGTGCAGAGCATCAAGTGAAAAGTGTGTGTGTGTTGCTGAAATAGAATGATTGACAAAACATTGAGTATATGCTTGTCCTTTCCCATCATAAAAAGTACATTTTATAATGATCACAAGAACTGACTTGCACATGTTCTGAAGTAAATTGTGTGTGTGTGTGTGTGTGTGTGTGTGTGTGTATTTATATTGCATTAATTTTGTTCTGCAGTCTTTTTTGTAATAATCACTGAACTTGTCATGTTGAAACACATTTATTGAATGTTAATAATGTACAGTCTTGTTTGAGGTCTTTGTGAGGTGCCTTTGCACGAGAATCTCAATGACAACAGACTAACAATCTTTGAAATACTAAATTCACCGCACAATGTCACAGGGAACACCTGACTGCTTCATAATTTGCAAAGCATAATTTAAGTAAGGTAAGACAGAACCACGACTGAATAATAATGACTGCATTTTCATGCAAATCTAATGCAACAATGTGATTGGATATTTATTGAATGAATTATTTGCTAACTGTTAGACTTTATTTTGGCATATGCAAGGAGAATAATTAGGTGTAAATGAATTAATCAGCTTGAATGCATTAATGAACCCAGAGCAGTGACAGAGATGAACTTTTGAACTGTTAAGGTTTAAGACCTAAAATAGGTGGATTGCATAGCATTTTCTAACTTTTTATTTGTCATTCAAGATGCTATTAAATAGTATATTTCTACACACAATTGGTCTGAAAAAAAAAAATTGTATTATGAGCCAAACTCTACAGCAATGAGCTGTTGTTTAGCTGAACAGTTGCAGAAGTGAACTGTTTTGTGATATGGATTTGACCAGTGAAATCCCCAAACATTGCCCACAGACCCATAGCAATGCGAACCATTCTATGTAATTGATTTAGCTATAAAGAATAATACACTGTATGAGACAGAGTCAAAGAAACAATAAAATGGCAGACTGTCTCAATAGAGACATAGCTAGTAGGATGTAATATATCACCTCCCGGGGAGAAGCAGCTCTTGACTGTAATGTTTGTTGCAGAAAAGGAAGATTTTCTATTATTAAGAGTAAAGAATGAAATAATAAAAAATAAAAAAATATATATATATATATATATATATAAACAAAAAAAACAGTTACTGATTCTAGACACAATAAAAAAAAAAAAAGCAAATCCTGTGGTAACATCTAGACAAAAACTAAATATGTTTTAGTGATGTTTGATAATAATCTGATCAGTCTACACTGGCTTTAAAGGGATAGTATGACCACCAATTAACCCTTCGGTGACCAGACCATTTTTCAATTTTCTTGCCGTTAAAGACCAGGGCTGTTTTTACATTTCTGCGGTGTTTGTGTTTAGCTGTAATTTTCCTCTTATTCATTTACTGTGCCGACACATATTATATGCAGTTTTTCTAAAGATACCATTAATTTCATCATCATCTAATTTACTATAAAAAAATTATAAAATATGATGAAAATTTTTTTAAAAACCCCACACTTTTTCTAACTTTGACCCCCAAAATCTGTTACACATCTACAACCGCCAAAAAATGTTCTTGGCTTTTTTTTTTTTTTTTGCAAGTTATAGGGTTATAAGTACAAGTAGGATATTGCTGTTTCAAAATATATATTTAAAAAATTTATCAATAGTGACATTGTAACACTGTTTTCTGTCATAAATGTTTGAATCACACCTCACATGTATATATTTTTTTAAAGTAGACAAACCAGGATATTCAATATGGGGAATGTCCAGTCTTTTTTAGTAGCCACTTAGTCACAAACACTGGCCAAAGTTAGCATTTATATTTGTTTGTGTGTTAAAAATACAAAAAAACTATTATGAACGCTAACTTTGGCCAGTGTTTGTGACTAAGTGGCTACTAAAAAAGACTGAACATATCCCATTTGCAATACCTTGGGTTGTCTTCTTTTGTAAATGGTATGCCATCCTTGGGGTAATTCTCATTCCTGGGCTACCATACGCTCTCAAAGGCACCATAACCAATCTGGCAAATTTCAATGTTAAAAAAGGGAAAATCAAGCCTTATATTTGACTCTGTAACTTTCACAAACACTATAAAACCTGTACATGGGGGGTACTGTTATACTCAGGAAACTTAGCTGAACAATATCACTTTCACTGACAATATCATGATCTGTGTTCAGCAAAGTCTCCTGAGTAAAACAGTACCCCACACACACACACACACACACCCCTGCACAGATTGTAGGGTGTCATGGAAAGTTACAGGGTTAACTACAGTCCTAGCAAATTAAATTCTCTGGACTTTTGGCCTTGGTTGTCAGGCAGGTCCATCAAATTGCAATAAAAAAAAAATTACTTAAATTATGTAAAAATATTACATAAATATGCACATAGAATTTAAATATATATATATATATATATATATATATATATATATATTTGAAGTCTACGTGTAAATTTATGACATTATTCATGTAATTATGGATATATACATATTATTATATTTTATTATTATTTTTATTTTACTAGGTACGTCCACAGTCCTTAAGGACCATTTTTGTCGAACGTACCTAGTTCGTCCGCGGTACTTAAGGAGTTAAACTTAGGGTACTTTGATAAGGTTTGGTGTCATAGATCTAATATATATATTTAAATTTTTTTTCCCTCAATTTATTTTGGTTTCATTAACAGAAATAATAGAGAGCAGTGTGAGCGGAGCACCTGTGAGACAGGAAGACTGCAGGAGTTCAAAAGGACAGCCAAATACATAGTGAATATCGGAACTGCAAACTGAAATGACAGTCATAATTATAAATAGGAAAACAGGCATCATTATATTCATAGTGCAGCTTGATTTCCCATTCATAATTGACTATCATTTTAGTTTCCTATTGGTATGATTAGTTCCAATCTCAATTTGCAAATGTAAGTCATAAGGTAATATTATTGTCATATTATTTTTTGGTCACTTTGGAATAAAATTACCTTTTTACCATTTACCAAATAGCACTGGTCCTACCTCAACTGGATACCTCGCTTACACTAGGGATCCCTGTCGACACTGTTGCACTTTCTTCATCTACATATATTCCAGGTGGGGATTGTACCACTCAAGCTGATTCAATAGAGCATGAAGATGCTTTGAAAAATGTATACATTTCCTTCATTGTTTTATTAACCGCACTTAAAACTGAGAGCACATAGAACATATATCATGGTATGGACTGGCATGTAGTAACACTAAAAAGCTGCCTTCTGTCTACTGTTCACACAGTAGAATGTGTCCATTTCTTCTTCCTTGAGAACTTTAGGAGATCAGGAAGGATCATTGCCCATGGAAGACAGGTGAAAAGATGTACATGGAAGATGCTTATAGAACACAGAAAAAAATGTGACTTGAGTCAAAACAATAATTACAAGAATGAAAAGTTAAAGAGTTCTGAAGATCTAAACTATTAATTCTTATTTATCAGTTGGAAAACTTCAGTTTACCTCAGCAGGCCATTGTAGTTTGAGTTTCAGATCTCATAGTTAAAACAAAGTTAATATGATTCAACTCAGTTCGAACCAGTTGCGCCTGTGACTAACAGTAAATCTGCCGAATGCTCACAAATGAAAATATTTTTGAGAAATGTAGGTTAATGCCTAACGAGCATATAAGAATAAACGCGTACTATGTTACAAAGCTAACTTAAAAAAATATAGGTATAAAACAGTAACTAAGTAACAAGGTTTTGTTTATATATCCATTTATTTGTAGACTATAAGATTTTAAAGTTTTGCTGTCAAGGTGGCAGGGCATTGAAAGCTCTCAATTTTACTGAATGGCATTGTGTTTTTCTTGTCGTCTGCAATACTGTGATATGAAACAATGAGCAGGACTGAAAACTGCTACTGACTGCCTAACCTTTAAGTTTTAATGATTTTCTGGGAATAGTTTTACCTATGTCTGTGACCTTGTCATTTCACTTTCCATTCCAAAAGATTCACTGAGACAAAGCTATTTCGTTTGGTTTCCTTAGATCTATGCCTTGGTGATTCGACACATCATCTCATTGCAGAGTCTGGCTGGTTTCTGACAGACTTAAACAAGTGAAACATTTTTTTTATCATTATTTTTGGAAGAGTCTAAAACATCTCATAATTCAATTAAATATGAGTTGTACCTTATTTGCCAACTAATTTGGTTATTTGCCAATGATATTCTTTTCACAGTACAATAGGAGTAGAATTAATTGTAAATTTTAAATGACCATTTTATATTTGTTAATGAACTAGTTATCTTTTATCAAGTTTCACGTGTTGTTTTTTTTTTTTTTTTTTTTTTTTTTTTTTTTAGACCTATTTTTTTTAGATATTATTTTTAGATAATTACCCACCAAAGCCTTTTGTAATTATGTACTTTATTATTTGACTAGTCAAATATTGTAAACTCTAATGTAAGTACTTTAACTGCTCAATTTCACTTTCAATATTCAACAATGGTTTTCTATAAAAGGTCTACTGTCAGTGTTTTACTTGTAGAACTCATAACTTACGATACTGTCATGCCGAACTTGCCTTTCTCCTATTGTTTCCTCTTAACTTCCTCTCTCAGAATCTGTTCTTCTTTTCTCCCTATCTGATCTAGTTTTCTTTAAAGCATAGGGATTACTTTGTGTATTTTTCCTGTGCTTGACCTTCTTTGACCAAAGGAGGAGCTTAAGTCAGCTCCATTTAATGTGGTCAATAACATTTTCCCACAATACTCACCCCTCTTCCGTGTTCTCACATTGCTTCATTTGCCATTCGAACATCATGTCATTTAGATTAGGGTGCCAGTGGGGACATATTTACTAAACTAAAAAAAAAAAAAAGCGACTGTGCACCCATGAGGATAGGCCTGTAAAATAAAATAATGAGGAGGCTTAGTACGCTCATGCCTGCACCTGTGGCCAAAAGGTGGGGACTTGATATTAATATTGAAGAGATGACTGTCCACTACCATGGTCAACGAAAGGGAGCTATTAAATAAAAAATAAAAAAACAGTTTGGACATCCTAATATTCCATGGCAAATTTTGAGAAAAGTACTCTAACTGGTTGGTTTACAAGCCAGTCAATCAGTGAACTTCAGAGAATTATTAAGGCAATTCCAACCTCATTCTGTGAGGAGCACTAGTGGCAAAAATGTATATATTTTTGTAGTGATGCAATTTTAAATGTTTATTTCATCCAGTCTTTTTTTAGATAGATGCATCGCAGTGTTATGGATTATTAAGTTATTTGCTTGCAGAGTTAGGTCCGGAAATATTTGGACACTCACACAATTTTCATAATTTTGGCTCTGTGCGCCACTACAATGGATTTGAAATGAAGCTGAGATACAATTGAAGTGCAGACTTACAGTTTTAATTTGAGTGGTTGAACAAAATGATGGTACGCAATGCTTAGGTATTGTGACCATTTTCATACTTTCCCTTATTTCAGGGACTCAAATGTAATTGGACAAATTTACACAATCATTAATAAAATCTAAATTTGTAATACTTTGTTGAGAATGTTTTGATGGCAATAACTACTTGAAGTTTGGAACACATGGACCTCACTAAAAGCTGGATTTCCCATTTTGTGATGCTTTGCCAGGCCTTTACTGCAGCTGTCTTCAGTTATTGTTTGTTCGTGGGTCTTTCTGCCTTACGTTTTGTCTTCAGCAAGTGAATTGCATGCTCGATTGTGTTGAGATCAGGTGATTGACTGAGGTGTGCAGAATATTCCACTCCTTTTCCCTAAAAAAAACTCCTGGGTTGCTTTTGCAGTATGTTTTGAGTCACTGTCTATCTGTAAAAAGGTCAACCTCGCTGAATTTAGCTGAATCTTACAGACAATGTATCCTCTCCAGAATTCATCCGGCTGCTTCTGTCTTCTGTCACATCATCAATAAACACTAGTGACCCAGTGCCATTGGAAGCCATGCATGTCTCCACTGTGTTTTACAGATGATAAAGTTTGCTTCAGGTCATGAGCGTCCACACTCTTTTCTTCCCATCATTCTGGTACAGGTTGATCTTAACTTCATCTGTCTAAAAAAATGCTGTTCCAGCACTGGGCTGGCTTTTCAGGTGTTTTTTGGCAGTGTAATCTTTCTATTCCTGAGGCCTATGAAAGATTTGCACCTTGTGTTGAACCATCTGTATTTGCTCTTGTGAAGTCTTCTCTTTATGGTAGACTTGGATAATGATACACATACCTCCTGGAGAGTATTCTTCACTTGGTTGGATGTTGTGAAAGGGGTTTTTCTTTAACATAAAAAGTATCCTACGATCATCCACCACTATTGTCTTCCATAAACATCTAGGCCTTTTTGTATTGCAGAGCTCACTAGTTCAGAATTTGCAGCCCAAGGATGGCCTGTTTCACTTGGATTGAGAGATCATTTGACCACATGTTGTGGGTCTAAATACGAATGTCACACCTGGAATTAACTCCAGACCTTTTAACCTGCTTAATTGATGAAGAAATAAGGAATAGCCTACACCTATCCATCAAACAGCTTTTGAGTCAATAATTAAATTACTTCTGGGCCCCTTGAAAAAGAGGGGGCTACATATAAAAGAGCTGTAATTCCTAAGCCCTTCCTCCAATTTGGATGTAATTACCCTCAAATTAAAGCTGACAGACTGCACTTTAAGCCCATATTCAACTTTAACTAATATTGGCAAACAGCCAAAATAACAAAACTATAAAAAAAAATATTAAAAAACAAAACAAAAATATTCAGTGTCCAAATATTTCTGGACCTTACAGTATATTACATTTAGAGATCCCATCTGTTATGGATGTTATGTTTGGTTTACATGCAACTAACTCTATGTTTTTTCTACACTATTGCACGTTTCCCGTTGAGGTGTGTACTTCCTTCCTGTATCTCCTGAACCATGGCTGCTATACACTAATGTCTTGCAGTGTCTTTATATCACCTGAAACATGGTGTCAGAAGTATCTGAACCTGGCCTGTTTTCACACTCTTGATGTCAGGAGCTTGCAAGTCTTGCAGTGAGAGACTTCTTGGAAGTGATTGTGCCTCCTGTAGCAATTACAGCTACTACTGTCCTGCAAGCTGAGCATTGGAAGCAAGGAAACCAGCATCATGGCAGCTGCTCATAGCATTCCACTGCCTGAGGCAATGAGGGTGAGTGGGGATTGCAGCAGTAACTGGGATAACTTCTGAGCTGAGTTC